CCCGCGGGACGGGGCGACGCTGCCCGCCGGCCCTGGCATTGCGCAAGCGGGAGCCGCGGCACGGTTTGTATACGCATGCACACACACGCACGCGCGCAGCACAGTGTCTGCAATAACAGTCACGCGGGACAGTGCGCACACGCGCACCTGGTGTGAACGTCTGCAGTCGTGCACGCGCCTGGCATGCATGTCTGCAATAGCATGCTGGCAGCAACACGCACGTGCGGCACGGATGTCTGCAGTGGCACGCAAATAGACACGCGGTATCACCTGCAAGAAGACGCATGGCGGAACGCCTCTGCAAGAGCGCGCACGCATACGCGCGACACCCATCTGCAATAATGCGGCAAGCTTGCATCGTGCACACAGCACGTCTGCAATAACCCACGCAAACTGGCTCAGCACAGCTGTGACAGCACTCACGTACGTGGCACAGCACACATGTAGCAGTACTCATGAACGCACGCACATGGCACAACACATCTGCAGTAACATACCCACACCAAGCAGATCTGCAATGGCACATGCACACACGTGCACGCACACGTCCTCAGAAACACACACATGCACAGCACAGCTGCAGTAACAGCACATGTGCAGAGGCACATGCACACACACAGCACATCTGCAAGCCCAGACGCACACGGGGCACACTGGCGATAGCACATGGACATACGAGCACACCAGCAATAGCAAACACGCGAACACGTAGCCCAGCACGTCAGCAGTAACGCACACGCAGCACATCTGCAAGCCCACTCGTGCAAATGGTGACCACTTGCCAGTGCTGGGAGGGGGAGCACACACACACGTGTTTGTGCGTGAGTGTGCATGAACACGTGTGCGTGCACATGCATGTGCATGCCCCTGTCTCGCAGGCTCTCTCCTCGCTGTGGGCCCCCCGGGGTCCGGGTGCCGTCAGCAGGAGGCGGAGCCCGGTGGCACCAGCCAGAGCGTGTCACCCCCGCAGCCTCGGCCATGTCCGTGTCCAGCCCCTCGGACCTGGAGCGCAGCCAGAGTGGCAGGCCCCGCCCCCACCACCGAGAGGGAGGACACGGAGCACGATGAGGAGAAGATCTGTGCAGTGTGCGGAGACCGAGCCACCGGCTACCACTTCCATGTCATGACCTGCGAGGGCTGCAAAGGCTTCTTCAGGTGGGCGCTGCAGCCAGGCCATGGTATGGCGCGGGGTGGGACAGGGTGCCAGAGGATGGGATGGGATGAGATGGGATGGGAAGGGACAGGAAGAGACAGGATGGGATGGGAAGGGACAAGGTGGGACAAGATGGGATGTTACAGGACAAGACAGGAGGACAGGATGGGATGGGATCAGGCAACATGGAATGGGACAAGATGGGATGGGACAAGATGGGAGGGTCAGGGTGGAATGAGATGGGACAGGACAGGATGGGACAAGGTGAGACAAGACGGGATGGGATAGGACAACATGGAATGCCACAACATGGAATGGGACAAGATGGGATGGGACAAGGTGAGACAAGATGGGATGGGATGGGATAGGACAACATGGAATGGGACAAGACAGGAGGGTCGGAGTGGAATGAGATGGGACAGGGCAGGATGGTGTGGGACAGGACAAGATGGAACAGAACAAGACAGGGTGGGATGGGATGGGAGGATCAGGGGTGGCATGAGATGAAACAGGACAGGATAGGATGGGACAAGACAGGACGGGGTGCTCACAGCCCTGTGCTCGAACACCCCAGCTTCTCCAAGGCAGGCTAGTGACGGGGTTCTGGGGGGCAGGGGTTCCCCCCACCCCAGCAAATCCTGCCCCACGGCCACTGCAGGGTACTGGTGGGCCCAGGGTGGCCCTTCTGTCGGCACACAGAGCCATCCTGGGCCAGGCCGGAGGGCACGAAGGGCTTGTCTGCAGGGCTGCAGGCCTCGTGGCACAGCCCAAGGCTCTGCCCCGTGCCCACCCTGCTCCACGTCCCCACGTTCCCTGCATCCCTCCAGGCGGTCCATCAACAAGGGCATCCACTTCAGCTGCCCCTTCACCCGGAGCTGCCCCGTCACCAAGGCCAAGCGGAGGCAGTGCCAGGCCTGCCGCCTCCAAAAGTGCCTCGACGTGGGCATGAGGAAGGACAGTGAGTGCAACCAGTCCCAGTGGCCCTAGAAGACACGGGAGACAGCGGGGATGCCTGGGTGGGCTGGCAGGGAGGGCACAGGGGGGAGAGGGGATGGGGGGAGAAGGGACAGGGTCACCTGGCTGGGACGGATGGGGTGACCTGAGTGGAACAGATGGGAGGACACAGGGGACAACAGGGGGACCTTGGGGGGAAAGGGGGGACATGGGAGCAGAGAGGACAGGGAGGACCGATGTGGGATGTTGGGGGACATGGAGTAGAGGGGATGATGGGGTGACCTGGGTAGGACAAGGAGGGAAACGGGAGCAGAGAGGACAGTCCAGGTAGGATGGCAGGGGGAGACGTGGTGGCAGAAGGGATGGCGGGACCTGGGGAGAGGGGACAGCAAAGTGACAGGAGTAATAGATGACAACAGGGAGATGCAGGGAAGAGGGTGTGGGATTGACCCCACTGGGGAAGAGGGGACTACAGGGCACTCGTGGCTCTCAGCCTCCCTGAAGCCCCACATGGTGGTGGTGGCACCCCCACCCCTTCATGACTCAGCAGAGCCTCAGCAGTGTCCCCACCACGTGCCGTGACCACCGTCCGGCACTGAGAGCCACAATCCTCCTGCCTACCACACCACCACATCCCTGAGCTCCCAGGTGTCCTGCCCGCACCCACAGCACCGTGGGGCTGACCTGGCCCCCGGCGCTACAGTGATCATGTCGGAGGAGGCTCTGCGGACACGGCGAGCGCTGCGGCGCCAGCGGCGGCTGGCACGGGAGGCGCTGGGGCAGCCCGGGGGGCTCACAGCAGAGCAGCAGGAGCTCATCAGCATCCTCATCACGGCCCACAAGAGAAACTTCGACTCCAGCTTCTCCCAGTTTGTGCACTACCGGGTGAGTAGGACCCAAAGGGACCCGGTGGCTCCCACCCATAGGGTCCTGGCCCACCACTAACGCCCCGCTTCCCCCGCCTGGAGCCCAGCGGCCTCTCCGTGTCGCCTCTGGCAGTAGCTTCCCCAGAGCCAGACTGCCTGGCCGAGGACGTGCTGCCCGACGTCTTCTCCATGCTGCCCCACTTCGCTGACCTCAGCACCTTCATGATCCAGCAGGTCATCAACTTCGCCAAGGAGATCCCAGCCTTCAGGTCAGTGCAGGCATGGGATGGGCTTCCCTGGCCCCTCGTCCTGGCTCTGATATCTCCGTCTCTCCTGGTAGGAGCTTGCCCATCGATGACCAGATCTCCCTGCTCAAAGGTGCCACCTTGGACATCTGCCAGATCCAGTTCAACACGGTCTTCAACGAGGAGACCAACGCCTGGGAGTGCGGGCAGCACTGCTACACCATCCAAGATGGGGCCCTGGGTGAGCTGGCACAGGCACAGGGTAGCACCAGGGCAAGGATGAGGGGCAGCAGCTGCCTGGGGCTGCCCCACAGGGTCAGGGCAGCCAAGGACGGCATTGGCACCAGGTCCAGGGACTCCCCACGGGAAGGGAAAAGTGAGAGACATCCCTGCACAGCTCTGTCTCCTCTGCTGGGCAGCCAGCCCAGCTCCCTTGTCACCACCATTCTCTCCCCAGCTGGGTTTCAGCAGATCTACCTGGAGCCACTGCTCAAGTTCCACATCAGCCTGAAGAAGCTGCGGCTGCACGAGGCTGAGTACGTCCTGCTCCAGGCCATCCTCCTCTTCTCACCAAGTAGGGGCTACAGTGGGCACGGCTGGGACATCCCACCCGCCGTGGGTCCCTGGCTCATGGCTGCCCACCTGGTACTTGCAGACCACGCAGGCATCGCTCAGTGGGAGTTCATTGACCAGCTCCAGGAGAAGGTGGCCCTCACGCTCAAGAGCTACATTGACCACCAGCACCCCATGCCTGAGGGCAGGTATGCGCTGGGGATGGGGCAGAGTAGGTTCTTCCTCCTGGAGCCCCAGCAGTGCCCAGAGCAGGACCAAGGCACGACCAGGGCACCCCTCACTTTGCCCCTGGGGACTGGCATGCTTGGGGGGACATGGAGCTGACAGCAGAGACCTGCCCATGAGGCATCCCGACCCACCCTAGGTGGGATGGGAGCATGGCCCAGACTGGATCCAGGGGTGCCTGTGGGTGCAGACAGTGCCTAGCTGGGGTGGCACAGCCCAGCGCCAAGACCCCCTGCAGCTCAGCCCAGCCTTTCCAACAGGGGCAGCAGTGCCCTGTGCCCGGCTCTGCCTGTGCTGTGGGCACAGACAGGCCGAGCCAGGCGCCTTCCCCCCGCCAGGTTTCTCTATGCGAAGCTGCTGCTGCTGCTGACGGAGCTGCAGACGCTGAAGGTGGAGAACACGCGGCAGATCCTGCACATCCAGGACTTGTCCTCCATGACGCCGCTGCTCTCCGAGATCATCAGCTAGAGCCAACACTGCAAGCCTCTGCACCAAAGCCCCAGGGCCTGCCTGCTGAGCCCTGGCCTTGCAGAGGGCTGGTGGCAGTGGCCTTGACCCACCCCATCGAGGTGGGCACCGGCACCACTTCTTGCTTAGCCCCAGCCAAGCCTGGCCCCTCAGGCTGCCGGCACTGGCCATGCCTCCGGGGCTGGCACCCACTGGTTACCAGGGCACTTTATAGGGTAGAGTAAAGCTCCTTTATTTTTCCAGACTCTGTGGGTACATTTGTGTGAGCACATCCCCAGCTCTGGGCACCTTAGGGCACTTCCAGCCCGTGCCACGTCCTCCGCCGCCCAGAGCGGCTCCTCATGTGGCTGGAGGGAAACTGAGGCCAGAGAGGCAGGAGCAGAAGGAAAGAGGGATGCTCGAGGAGAGCAGCACGGGCAGGAGCCAGGGACTGTGCGGGGCAGCAGGGGCTGAGGCCCTGCCTGCAGAAGATGGGAGCCCCCAGGGCTTGGGCAGTGAGTCCACCCGTTCCCCACAAACAAC